AATTAATGTTTTTCGACTTTCCTATTCTTGTACAAAAACCGAAAATCATTGACGAGTAAGTCTAACCTTAATATGCTTTACTCTAAGTAAAGTATAAAAGGTTGCGAGAGCAGACTGACAATAGCAGAATGAATAGCCTTTTATCAATAAGCACAAAAGCATTTAGTGCTCGCCAGAATTTTACATCCATAAAAAGGTGTAAAAGAAACTTTCTCAGGAGCCCACAACAGCCGAAAGTTCATCAACTACTAATTACTCGCTACCAAACAGAAATTAGTTTAGAACTAGCGATAGCCGAATAGAGCTAAACGGAACTTCATGGCTAGCTCAACAAAGATAAATATTGTAAATCCAATAACGGAAATTACTTTATTTATGCATATTGCCGACAGAATAAGTTTACATTCAGCTTTCAGCAGAGGGTAATCCTATGCAAGTCCTAAATAAACTTCAACACACTCAAACAACGTTCAAAAAGATAAAAAATGCCCCGAGCTAAAGGTGCCTCGGCCAAAAGAAAATCTATCCGAATGAGTTAGGTTTACTAAGAAAAATAATGTGAATAGTTAAGAAAATGCTATGGTCTGAAAGGGAGGCAGAAGCACAACGTGACTACTGATTTGTTTTTAAAATTATATTAAGTAGACATTTTAGGCATAATTAGCTAGAAAGAAGAAGATGACCCCATTGCCATATGACAGACATGACAACACTACAGTTCACTATGGATGAGGATAACGTTTGGGGTGCGAACCCGAGTGAAGTGAGGTCGTGAGGCTGACTCTTATCATGTTGGGAAAACCTCCACTATTCGTCGTTACAAGTCCCCTTCAAGATCTACTGATAGTCTAAAAAATTACTGTTTATGCCTGATCCGTCACGATACATGTTTTTTGTCTTGACTAATTGAGTCAGGCAGAGAGATAAAGCCAGAATCCGGATGACAATGTTCAGATTCAACTCATATGCCTTCGCGCCAAAGGTCTAAGACAACCCAATAAAAGGGTTAGCTGGGACCACGACCAAAAAAAGAGGGAAACGTGCGAGAGCATTCGTGCTGGAGGGCTGTTCTAGCAAAGTGGACGAGGTACCGAGTCCCGGACACTTGATGAGGGCGGGAAGTCGTTTGACTCGAGACGGCCGAACTGGTGTGGCATGGTGGGTTTTGAGGTGTTTAGAAAAAGAACGAGCTGCTGGAAAGACGAGCTGATTGTCGCAATTACTTGAAGTGAACATTTGGCAGTCAAACGATGGGCAAGAAGGAGGGCAGCAAGGTGGGATAGGGGTTGATAATCACAATGCTTTCAGAAAGATTGCCACCTGGGCCTTGGGAAAGCAGTCGAGAAGCGGATCCGAAGGGTGTGAGTGAGTGGGTTTTTGCATGCATGCCTCCGAAGCGGACAGCTGGAACTGGTGCGGATACAGACCGACGAACAACTTCGGGTGGAGGCGGCAGTTCGTCTGAAGGAGGGAGCATCTTTGACCTGGTGACCCCTGTTGCTATGGCTTCTGTGCACCCATTTGATCGACTCTTTTTGGCAGCCTGATTCGTCTCTGATACGTTCACTCATTCATTTGGCTTTGATTTTATCGGCAAAATACTATATACTACGCATGGTCATTATGAGTAGTATTATTATTTTAGGCAAAGGTGAAGCTTCTTCAGTCTTTTCTTCTCCACTCTCGGTTATAATCATGGTCACTTTTCTGTACTTTTAAAACCACTTTTTCCTTCTTAAATGGGAACAAAAAGCTGATTAACATAACCAAACCTGTGTCCGAATTTGAGTAATCGGAATGGTGGTGGCCGAGAACAGACACAACTTTTATGTTTTCGTGCATAAGTAGCGTTTTGAGACTTCCACTAAATCAAAAATATCACTTTTATGCTCGAACTACTTTGGTTTATTGCATATACGAACACATGAAGGTACAATAACATACGCACACGTTTTGTGGTGGACATATGACTTGAACTATCCAAGTTATCATCGAGTTTGGATAAAGAGTATATATACAGCATTTTAGGACAAGCCTATGAGTATTCTTGACTTGTTGGCTTGAATGGGTTTGCAATGAT